TATATGTACAAACTAACAATTGGGAATTAAATGATAAACAACTTGATAAAGCTTTGTATTTTCCATCACGCCTTTGAATTTGTTTCTTTTATCTCTTGCTAAAAAAATATTAATGAAAGACTACAAATCAAGTTTTTAAAAAATAGTATTTTGTACAAAGAACTAAAATTAATTGGAAAGGTCACATGTTGAAGACAGACTTTGCTTCTCTGACTAGGTTGCTTGACCATGAGCAATTTAAATTTGTTTAGAGAATTCTTTTATTGATTTGTACTAATTCTTCATAAGACACAAAGAATTTCTAAGCCAACTATTTTTGCTTCCACTACATTCAACTTCATTGTAACCAATGTATCCGATGTGAATTTGTGGATCACCTGGAATCATACGAAGTATGGATTTGGTGAGATAAGACAACAATATGTTTAATTTTTCATGCATATTAATGATATAATCATAAGCTATTGTTGAACAAAAATTTAAAGGTAGGAGCAAATCTTAGTATATTGTTCAACACACTTGTTTTATCTTGATTTTGAAGTAGTAACCTGTTTTTTATAACAATAAATACTTCACTTACAGAAACGCGAAGTAATGCTTTACAACTGTTTGCATATACCATAGTTCTCATTAACTTTGCATGGCACAGCATTCAATTTTAACACAACTCTGTTGTAAACTTTCCCTTCATCTTTAAAAAATAAATAAGAACAAATTCTGCCCAACTTTTGGGAGGTAAACTCGATTCAAATGAGGAGAGTTTAGCTTGATCATGATACAAGATGGTTGCAAAACTCGATAAAAATTGGCAGCTTTACCACACGTCTGACGAGTGATAAAGTGAAGAACAAACAAGACTGGACAAAATAACTTTAAATTAAAATTTAGTTGTAGAAATACTCTTCAAGTATCGTGTTAAAAACAAAATAGTAAAACTACTACTGTGCTACTTACCGGAGTCATGAAATGTTTCCTTTTCTGTCGCTATTTCATCATCCGCAAATCACGGAAGCTTGCAAATTATTTGATAAATATAATTTTAAAAAGTGTTTATGTTAGGAAAATAGTTTTGATATTTTCTATACACCCAATCGTGGTGGTCAAATCAGGGTGGGCGACAAAATTTTATTTCATGAGCCCGCTTCTCTCGCTGATTTTGACCACCAAAATCCGCCCCATGTTTTGACCACGCAGCCGCGCGCAAATAATTTATAGTAATTTTGTTGACGTTTCCCCTCCAGGTCTTATAGAACTCAATGGCAACAACGTAGTTGTTCATGCAACGTACTTGACATAGTCTGGATCCGCCCCTGATTAAATTAAACTAAAGTAGGTGTTTTGAACCCGGAAGTGTCGTCAATGTATAGGGATATACAGTAGGTGCACTTCGTGTGCAATTGGCTGCTGTAATTTAATTAGATTACTTGCTGCCGTTAGCCATTTCATCATTCCTATTGGTCAAAAAAGCAATTTACTAGCTGCCACTATGGTAATCACATGCGTAAGAAGATATGCGCGGCACGAAAAAATTAAATGGAGTGGCTCTACTGTATATTAACTATACTGTGGTATCGTTACATGTTTGTGGCTAAAGATCGTCCAGGTCAGTAGAGTCATGAGAAGGAATGCTGGTATTGATATTACGGTCGTCAAGTGAGGAGTAAACGTCAGGTTAGGCGTATTTATTATCTGGTTTTTACAGCGTCGTAATTTGTGCAAAGGAAATGTGTGGGTTTGTGGGTTTCAATTGTGTTCTGTTTTTGTGGATTAGTCTGAAGTAATGAGTTAGTTGCTTATTTGCTTGTTTTGTGAATGAGTCATTTGTAGGGTGCCGGTAATTGTTGTGATCTAAATGTATTACTTACAGCACTGACTATAGACAACGGCTTACATTAGAAAGTTGGTACACCAACTTAAAACAAAAACCCCTGAACAGATCACAATAACTACCGGCTCCTTACAAACGGCTCATTTACAATACAAAAACAAAAAACTAACTCATAACTTTAGACTAATCCACGTTAACAATACACAATACCACACTGCAAGACAATTTCTGTACACACAATACGATGACGTAAGAACAAGATAACAAAAACGTTTACTCCTCACTTGACTCTGAAGATGACTACCACTAAGGTTGTCGAAACGTCGGTCTACAGCAACACCAACAGTCCTTCTCAGAACTCTACTAACCTGGACAATTTTAATTCACAAACGTTTTACTCAAACCTCGTATATTAATGAGTATGTCAATAACTCTTTCTTTAAACCTAGCATGTTATTGAGCATCTCATATATATTCACAAAAAAACACCGGTTTTTCTGTTTGTAAAGCGTTGTTCCCATATAGTTGTAATTGTAAGTTAATCGCAGAAAAGCAATCACTGACGTGAAACCATTGATATGGGAACGCTAATCGGCGATAGCAATCGACAACAAATTTAAATATTCTAATCAACAGATAGAAATTACTTGCTGCGCAGCGGGGACTGATCTGGACTTTTGGAACGTAATTCAAGAAACGCCAGAAGCTTTAGCCATCTGTAGAGTTCTGGGAACATACTCACAGGAAGATTTTGATTTTCAACGTCTCGGAAGTTCAATTTCCGGCATTTTAAAGCAAGTGCTAATCATATTTTGTAAGCGTTGTATGTGCATAAAACTAACAGTTTAGTAGCATTTTTAATTGAAATGGTGAACGATACTTAGTTAATTGGCTGTTTTTCTTAAATTTGGGGCTACGCAGCATGCCTAGGAAACACATATTGCTAAAACCCTGGCAATATGGAGTTATGAAACTTAAGCTTTAAAAAAGGAAAAAATTATCAGAATTTTTAGTCAACAAAATCATTATGTTAGTAATGGATAATTGTATTTTAAAACAAATAATGATCTAAATAATAGACAAATTGAGCAATTTTTAAAAAGTTGCTTGTAGGCTCAGAATTTTAACCATTATTCTCATTGGCTGCCTTGGGGCTCATGTTATTTTGTTAAGTTTGAGTTGATAGTCAAGGTAAAAGCATGTACAAGATTTTCGAAAAAAATTCACTGAACAAAATTTTCGCACACTTAAAAAATTAGCCGGACCCAAAGCTCATTCTCCCTTTTTATTTCAATCGATATTATACGCGCTTGCACCAAAGCATAATAGGCCGTCTTTGTGCATGAAGAAAAGTCGTCGACTAAATATTGCCATTAAACACACTAAGGTAGGCTAACGCATGTATGTTTATTTTAAATATCAGCGTTGAGAATAGGGAAGGTTCTTTGTACTTATGTGTAAATATCACATTTAATTACAACAATTACAACTATATGCAAACTAGGTTTATGCATTATGGTAGCATTTATCTTTTGTGAAAAGATATTGGGCATGCTGCCAATATGCTGAACATTCAACATCGTAATTGCAGTTTACAAACTTCCGGATCAACAATACCATGACATCAACAATATGGTTGCTATTATGTTATTATGTTATTGCTCTTTCAGTTGAGTTTGAATGTGAGATTAAAGTTATTATTCACGATTGTTAACAGTACGTTTTTGTTTCGTATATTCGTCATCATTTCTCTGAGAATAAAGAGGCCCAAACACAAACCTAAAACGATAATTTCATATACAGCGGGTGGGGTACTTTTGCCAAATCTGTAGGTAAAAGGCACATATTTCGAAAATGAGTTTTAAACAAAAAAAGGCTTTTAAAAGAGAGGCAAACGTCGTAAAAAGTTTTGTGTGTATAGTGATTCCTGCAAAAACGATCCCGATAAAAAGTAGCTATAATTTTACAGGACAAATAATCTCTTTTACATCTATATACAGTAGAACCTGTTTTAAGCAGTCACAAATGGGGATTTCTCGTGTGACCGTTTAATACAGGTTGACCACTTATTACAAGTTGACCGTTTAGTAATATTTAACAAACTAAAGTTGACCAATCTGTATTGTTCGTCAACATGCCAAAGAACAACGCTATATAAAGCACCTTTTTTTTTCTTTGTTTTAACTAGAAGTTAAATATAGTATACACAAAAATGTCACGGCTCAAACTGCTAAAAAATATTAATCATTGGCAAGCGCGTCAACAGAGAAGGTGTTTATAACTTATATATTCCGTGCGCATATCCCTTTTGTGGAGATAGGTTTTCTTGTCAATGGCTGAAGGGACGTAAGAAGCATTAAATTGCTGGTGTATTTGTCCGCACAAACAGAAAATATTGTTGGATCTTTTGAGTCATTTTATGGAAGATAAATACAATATAAAGACATGTATACAATATAAGTGATACGCTCCAACAAAAATATTTAATAATGTATTTTATTATGGGGTGTACCTACTTAACCTGACCGTTTAATACAAGTGCAAAAGAACAAAAAATTAAGCTTAGCACATTGGAAAAGGTGACCGCGTCCGTTTAATAGAGATGACCGTTTAATAAAGGTCACTTTAATAGTATTTGCACCAGGAAACTTTGCCATATAACCGCTTAACACAGGGTGACAGCTTAATACGGTGCCGCTTAATACAGGTTCTACTGTTAAAGTAAAATTACAAATATTTTGCTTCTTATAAACTTGCTCCGTGGCGCTGTAAGGCCCATTTTAGTTCATACATGACATACAGATATAATTTGTTTTTTTAATGAAAGTTTTTGGCGAATTAACTAATTAAAACATGCCTAAATGAATTTTGGCCTGTCTAACCTCTTCCAGTCAACTATCACGCTGCCAACGCTACTGAACTGTTGTTCTGACAAGCAGCAAGGAGGTTTCACTTTCATGTAATATTAATTTGCACTTGGCTTTGGTAAACGTTGTGTGCATTGTCTGACTTATTTTAATTTGCCACCAAAAGATTGTAGCTGGCTATTGTTATCATAGTTGTTTTACAAGAACTTCTTATTTTAAGATGCTTTTCTGAAAGACTTTATCATTTTGAATAAATTAAACCAAACTTTTAAAAGTTTCACAATACGATATTTTTATAATTACAGGTTAGAAAGTTGGATGTCACATTTATTTTTCTCAGAGGGTAATAAAGCACTTGGTTTTCTTGGAATGAAGTGCTTATACGAATTACAAGACGACGATGAGATGAGATCAATTTGCGAGTCAAATAATTTTTCTGAAACAATATCCGTTGATAAAGTTTCTTTCACGCCTCTTGACTCAAACGTCTTCTTTGAATTTCTCTCTATATACTTACAATTAAGAAAACTCGCGTTTTTTTCATGCCAATTTCCTGATAATCATAGCGTCGTTAGATTGTCAAAATATTTGACAAATGCAACAGCATGCAATGTATTTTCTTTAAAAATCAACTCCTGTTCTGTTAAAAATATATCAAAGCATCTTAGTAAAGCTTTAAAAAGTGAAAATTGTAAACTTAGTGAATTGGAAATTAGAAAAAACAATATAGGTGAAGAAGGTGCTAAATATCTTAGTAAAGCTTTAAAAAGTAAGAATTCTAAACTTACTAATTTGATTATTAATAGCAACAACATGGGAGATAAATGTGCAAAATATTTTAGCGAAGCTTTGACAAGTGAGAATTGTAAACTTACTGAATTGTCTCTTAGTCGTAACAAAATAGCAGCTGGAGGTGCAAAGTATCTTAGTGAAGCTTTAAAAAGTGAGACTTGTAAACTTACTAAATTGTCTCTTTCTCATAACAATATAGGTGATGGAGGTGCAAAATCTCTTAGTAAAGCTTTGAAAAGTGAGAATTGTAAGCTTACTGAATTGGATCTTTCTCATAACAAGATAGGTGATGGAGGTGCAAAATCTCTTAGTAAAGCTTTGAAAAGTGAGAATTGTAAGCTTACTGAATTGTCTCTTTCTCATAACAAGATAGGTGATAAAGGTGCAAAATCTCTTAGTGAAGCTTTGAAAAGTGAGAATTGTAAACTTACTGAATTGTCTCTTTATATTAACAAGATAGGTGATGAAGGTGCAAAATCTCTTAGTAAAGCTTTGAAAAGTGAGAACTGTAAACTTACTGAATTGGATCTTTCTCAAAAAAACATAGGTGATGGAGTTGCAAAATCTCTTAGTGAAGCTTTGAAAAGTAAGAATTGTAAGCTTACTGAATTAGATCTTTCTTATCACACGATAGGTGATAAAGGTGCAAAATATCTTAATGAAGCTTTGAAAAGTGAGAATTGTAAACTTACTAAATTGTCTCTTTCTCAAAACAAGATTGGTGATGGAGGTGCAAAATCTCTTAGTGAAGCTTTGAAAAGTGAGAATTGTAAAATTATTGAAGTGTCTCTTTCTCATAACAAGATAGGTGATGAAGGTGCAAAATCTCTTAGTGAAGCTTTGAAAAGTAAGAATTGTAAACTCACTGAATTGTCTCTTGATAGTAACAAGATAGGTGATGAAGGTGCAAAATCTCTTAGTGAAGCTTTGAAAAGTGAGAATTGTAAACTTACTGAATTGTCTCTTGATAGTAACAAGATAGGTGATGGAGGTGCAAAATCTCTTAGTGAAGCTTTGAAAAGTGAGAATTGTAAACTTACTGAATTGTCTCTTGATAGTAACAAGATAGGTGATGAAGGTGCAAAATCTCTTAGTGAAGCTTTGAAAAGTGAGAATTGTAAACTTACGGAATTGTCTCTTGATAGTAACAAGATAGGTGATGGAGGTGCAAAATCTCTTAGTGAAGCTTTGAAAAGTGAGAATTGTAAGCTTACTGAATTGGGTCTTTCTTCTAACAAGATAGGTGATGGAGGTGCAAAATCTCTTAATGAAGCTTTAAAAAGTAGGAATTGTAAGCTTACTGAATTGGATCTCTCTCATAACAAGATAGGTGATGAAGGTGCAAAATCTCTTAGTGAAGCTTTGAAAAGTGAGAATTGTAAACTTACTGAATTGTCTCTTAATATAACAATATAGGTGATGAAGGTGCAAAATCTCTTAGTGAAGCTTTGAAAAGTGAGAATTGTAAACTTACTGAATTGTCTCTTGATAATAACAAGATAGGTGATGGAGGTGCAAAATCTCTTAGTGAAGCTTTGAAAAGTGAGAATTGTAAACTTACTGAATTGTCTCTTGATAGTAACAAGATAGATGATGAAGGTGCAAAATCTCTTAGTGAAGCTTTGAAAAGTGAGAATTGTAAACTTACTGAATTGTCTCTTTTAGTAACAAGATAGGTGATGAAGGTGCAAAATCTCTTTGTGATGCTTTGAAAAGTGAGAATTGTAAACTTACTGAATTGGATCTTTCTTATAACAAGATAGGTGATGAAGGTGCAAAATCTCTTAGTGAAGCTTTGAAAAGTGAGAATTGTAAACTTACTGAATTGTCTCTTGATAGTAACAAGATAGGTGATGAAGGTGCAAAATCTCTTAGTGAAGCTTTGAAAAGTAAGAATTGTAAACTCACTGAATTGTGTCTTGATAGTAACAAAATAGGTGATGAAGGTACAAAATCTCTTAGTGAAGCTTTAAAAAGTGAGAGTTGTAAACTTACGGAATTGTCTCTTGATAGTAATAAGATAGGTGATGGAAGTGCAAATTCTCTTAGTGAAGCTTTGAAAAGTGAGAATTGTAAACTTACTGAATTGTCTCTTTCTCATAACAAGATAGGTGATGGAGGTGCAAAATCTCTTAGTGAAGCTTTGAAAAGTAAAAATTGTAAGCTTACTGAATTGGATCTTTCTCAAAACAATATAGGTGATAAAGGTGCAAAATCTCTTACTGATGTTTTGAAAAGTAAGAATTGTAAACTCACTGAATTGTCTCTTGATAGTAACAAAATAGGTGATGAAGGTGCAAAATCTCTTAGTGAAGCTTTGAAAAGTGAGAATTGTATACTTACTGAATTGTCTCTTGATAATAACAAGATAGGTGATGGAGGTGCAAAATCTCTTAGTGAAGCTTTGAAAAGTGAGAATTGTAAACTTACTGAATTGTCTCTTTCTCATAACAAGATAGGTGATGGAGGTGCAAAATCTCTTAGTGAAGCTTTGAAAAGTGAGAATTGTAAACTTACTGAATTGTCTCTTTCTAATAACAAGATAGGTGATGAAGGTGCAAAATCTCTTAGTGAAGCTTTGAAAAGTGAGAATTGTAAACTTACTGAATTGTCTCTTGATAGTAACAAGATAGATGATGAAGGTGCAAAATCTCTTAGTGAAGCTTTGAAAAGTAAGAATTGTAAACTTACTGAATTGTCTCTTGTTAGTAACAAGATAGGTGATGAAGGTGCAAAATCTCTTTGTGATGCTTTGAAAAGTGAGAATTGTAAACTTACTGAATTGGATCTTTCTTATAACAAGATAGGTGATAAAGGTGCAAAATATCTTAGTGAAGCTTTGAAAATTGAGAATTTTAAACTTACTGAATTGTCTCTTGATAGTAACAAGATAGGTGATGAAGGTGCAAAATCTCTTAGTGAAGCTTTGAAAAGTAAGAATTGTAAACTTACTGAATTAACTCTTAAATATAACAATATAGGTGATGAAGGTGCAAAATCTTTTAGTGAAGCTCTGAAAAGTGAGAATTGTAAACTTACTGAATTGTGTCTTTCTTGTAACAAGTTAGGTGATGGAGGTGCAAAATATCTTAGTGAAGCTTTGAAAAGTGAGAATTGTAAACTTACTGAATTGTCTCTTTATCATAACAATATAGGTGATGGAGGTGCAAAATTTCTTAGTGAAGCTTTGAAAAGTGAGAATTGTAAACACACTTACATTAGATATAAACTTTAACCATTTATTATATAAATTAATTTGCTAATTACATTAAACATGTTTAAAGAATATATATTTGACCTTACAGTGTAAACAGCCAGTAGTCATGTTTTTATAAAGTTAATTGAATTTTCCTGTTTTTTTGCGTGTAAAAAGCACCTTTCTTCTTATCAATTTATGGTCTTTTGCTAGCATGCTTTTAATACTGAATCATAGTACTACCTAAAGAACATTTTAATCAAATTATTTGACACATTGTTACAGCGACGGAAATGTGTTCTTTTTTTTTGTTTGTTTGTATCAATTTGCTGTCTTTTGGCCGGCATGCTGTACTTGCCGAATTAGTGCTCTACAACAGGGGTCTCCAACCTTTACAGCCAGAGGGCCACATGAACTTTCATCCAGCATGTTGAGGGCCGAAGAATATGAAAAATTTCCACGTTATCCTTCAACTTTTTAAATTTCGGAACATATGTAGGAAGTTGGGAGAAAAATTCTCGAAGCCACTCTTGCTAGTTGGCTTCCGACATAACGTAAACTTTCTGCACAAACTTTATTTTGTTTAATAATATTATTATTTTTCTTAAGTGCCTCTCCTGGCCGGATTGAGAGGCCCAACCAGCCGCATCTCTCCCGTGGGGTTGGAGACCCCTGCTCTACAAGTATTAAAACAAATTTAAAAACTACTGATAATGTTTCTGAAAATTCTTTTTAAGATTTTTTGCAGAAGCAAATGTCCACCAGGACATATAGATACATGTTAAATAAATAGATGTTTTCAATCATAATTAACTCAATATCATACCGAACGTGTTTGCCTCAGAGACGTGGCTAGCATGCAAGTTTATTTTTGCAATGTTGATTCTAAAATCTGTTCACTTTGGAAATCTTCTGATTAGCAGAATGTTTAAAAGAACGTGTTTTTTGGCAAAAATAAATAATCATGCTGGTTATGCCAATGTGACATCAGGTTTTATTTTACCTGAAGATTGGCAAGCGACAATCGGTAACATAGTAATCCCTGAAAAGGCAGTAAAAACATTATATGCGTTGACCTTTGTGTTACGTTTTTGCCAGTAAACATTGATCATAAAAAACTCATTTCAATATACTATATAAATGATTAACTAAATTAAAGCATTTTGAAATGTATGTAGCATTGTATTTCATTGCAAATCTCGAGTATTTGCAGTGTTAAGAAATAGTAAATTTCTATAAGTTGTCAAAACTACGATAGTTGCTGCAAACCACGGGAAGTCAACAAACAATTAATAATGTTCATAAATAAAGTTATGAATAAAATTTCATAATTATTGAGTACAGGTTTCATCTTTTCTTCACATTACTTATGATCACATGCCATATCAACCACTCAATCGTCTTGACATTTTTCAGCCTTTGTCACTAAAGAAGCTTGTTTTTTCTAAAAGTATTATGAGGCAGAGACATACGACATAGGTGAGTAAAACTGTTTCTTAAATTTATTGATTATAACAGTGGAGATATTTTGCGTGCGCAAAAAGTGTTCCTGAAGTGTTTTTTATTCTTAAATATCTCGCAATTAACTTCAGAAATTAAAATAAAGTAATAACCCCATTGAATAATTTAATAAAATATAACATATTTTTAATGGCACGTAAATTTCATCGCTTGTACGTTTTTTTGTTTGTAAACGAAGACAAAGACAATTATTATGCGACTCTACAGCATCTGCATATCAATTTTATTAAGAATATTTGTATTGTTTTAGTTATCATAAAACGAAGTCTTTACTAAAGTCATTCAATTTTCTTTGTTCTGTTTTCAGACCAAACTTCGACCTTTCGCAAAAATTATCAGTACAGATTTTAAAATTCAAACGACCCACTCGATGTACAAACAAATTTCGCCTACTTGGTCACGTGCCAGTTTGCTTGTTGTCATTTGCGTTGAATATTTATTAGTCTTAATGAACAGACTCATCACCCAAGATTTACAGCGTTTAACCTATATTTCTGGAATTCTTATTTCCACCAATACAACATGTGCTCAATTTTGACAAAGAGCTACAAGATTATAATGTGGCACATTCAAAGAGTTTTTCAGTATTTCAAGCAGAGTACTTTAGCATTGTAATCATGACTTCATCTGTTTACTTCATGCTTAAATCACTATAAATTTTGTGGTAAAATCAGGCAAAGTTCAATTATGTTTATTTTTCCTTAAAGAACGTGCTGGTTTATAATAGCAATTGAGATACTAATTTTTTTTGCACATAAATGGTTTGAAAAATATAATTATAATTTTTTCCGATCGACAAAACCTTTGATGTATTACAAAAAGTCTTTTTATTAAGAGTTATTTATTTTAAATAATTTCACATAAATTTGTATCGTATAAAAATCTGCTGCGCAGAACCGATTAACATTGATTTGATAATCGTTGGATATGTATAGCAACAAAGTTGGCCGTCCCCTAGGCTTTATAAACATGTGTCTTTGTCTCGTCCAAACACTAACCGATATCATGCCCACATATTAGGATATGTATAGCAACAAAGTTGGCCGTCCCCTAGGCTTTATAAACATGTGTCTTTGTCTCGTCCAAACACTAACCGATATCATGCCCACGTATTAGGATATGTATAGCAACAAAGTTGGCCGTCCCCTAGGCTTTATAAACATGTGTCTTTGTCTCGTCCAAACACTAACCGATATCATGCCCACATATTAGGATATGTATAACAACAAAGTTGGCCGTCCCCTAGGCTTTATAAACATGTGTCTTTGTCTCGTCCAAACACTAACCGATATCATGCCCACATATTAGGATATGTATAACAACAAAGTTGGCCGTCCCCTAGGCTTTATAAACATGTGTCTTTGTCTCGTCAAACACTAACCGATATCATGCCCACATATTGGGATATGTATAACAACAAAGTTGGCCGTCCCCTAGGCTTTATAAACATGTGTCTTTGTCTCGTCCAAACACTAACCGATATCATGCCCACATATTAGGATATGTATAGCAACAAAGTTGGCCGTCCCCTAGGCTTTATAAACATGTGTCTTTGTCTCGTCCAAACACTAACCGATATCATGCCCACATATCAGGATATGTATAACAACAAAGTTGGCCGTCCCCTAGGCTTTATAAACATGTGTCTTTGTCTCGTCCAAACACTAACCGATATCATGCCCACATATTAGGATATGTATAGCAACAAAGTTGGCCGTCCCCTAGGCTTTATAAACATGTGTCTTTGTCTCGTCCAAACACTAACCGATATCATGACCACATATAAAGTCAACAGCTCGTTGTAAGGACGCACTGGTCTGCGTATTGGTCAAAGATTGCGGAATGATAAGCTTGTTTTGAAAACATGTCGCCCTTAAATAAAATATAGTAATTTTGAAGCTTAGCTATAACTATCATTTGTTCGAAATCCATGCTTTCAGAAAAATGAAAAAACCAAACGTTGCGAAGTTAGAATTTGATTCTGCAATTGTTGAATTCAATGCATTCCGCTGGAATGACCGAATTTTAGAGATACAGAATGTCTCCAGAAGACAAGAAACGGTTGGTCGGTTCGAAAAACATGTGCACCACTATTTAACTGTCACTGATTTGCAAGCAACTTGATGTTTGTGAGAATGTAAATGAATTTAACGTTAACATTTGCAAAGGCTATCGGCAAATGCAGGTAATTGACTTTATATTGTGATCATATAATTACCAGTCTAACCTCATATACGCAATAGGTCATATTTTGCAATGACGGTTAAGTTTTCGTCGATCAGCGTGGTCGAGTGGTGTGATACAGGTTTCTCAGGTTGAGGTGTGAGGTTCGAGTCCTTCGAGGTTCAGTTGGTGATGGGCATGGTGTGTTAAACGTTAGGCTTGCAACGAACGAGAGACGAAAGTGTGAGTGTGATGAAAGTTGATAAGTTGAGGAATGTAATGTTGTGCACAAAGTGCGCAAATGGTATTTCTCTTGTTGAATTTTTCGACAATGGAATGCGACACTTAGAAAAAAATCGAATAAATAGGGAATACCCACACAATTTTTTGGCCTAAAAAAACTAAGTCTTTTGATCAAATTTTTCTATGACTCTCTAGAAGTTAGGGAGTCATATTTTTAATAGTCAAGAACCTCAGAGCAAACAGATCGCCCTTTAACTCTCTCTTAACCTCAACCTTGCACTCAATCCTTAAGCTACAACCCATACCAGCACCGACACAGGGACGAACCAAGAACCTCGTGCATTGGAGGTCAGACAAAGCCCGTTGAGCCAGAAGCTCAACTAATACTACAGACTTTTTGGAACATTTGCCCCTTTTCCTTTATAGAAAGACATATAAAAACCTGTCGATAGCATATATTAATTAAAACTTTCAAATAGAACAGCATTTAATAGCTATTATTATTTATGGCTTTAAAAATGTTTGGCAAATGCCTTCGCTGG